AAAAAAAAGGAAGGAAGGCAAGGCAGGGAGGGAAGGGGCAAGAGAGGATGGAAGGAAAGAGGAAGGGGGAGGGAAAAGAAAGCAAGCTACATGCTACAACATGGACGACCCTTGAAAAGATGCCAAGTGAAATAAAGATGATCTTTGTATTATTCCACTTATATGAAATGTTGAGAAGTAGTGAATTTACAGAGGAAGAAAGTAGATCCCTGGTTCCTTAGGGATGGGGATAGAGGGGAATGGGGACTGATGGTTAATGGTATAAGGTTTCTTCAGGGAAGGATGGAAATGATTTAAAATTAGATAAAATAAATTTGTTTAAACTTGAGTAATTTTTATGCTTATTACCTTCATTACAAAACAATAATTGTAGGTTGGCACTTTTAAAAATCTGTCTACAAATAGTAACTAGAGAAACAATTTGGATATTATAGGGCTAGCATTAGCCCTGTCCCTGTAAGCCTATCTGGTTGTGGGGCCTGCACACAGGTGTGCTTAATCCTTACAAAACTCAGCTATCCAAATTGCCCTGGTAATAAAGGAAACACACTCTGCTTTACTAAAACAGCAGTCCAGAAAAAAAGTAAGGTGACTCTCTGGATTAACACTTAATGGCATATGTAACTGATCTAGCACTGACAGAAGATTGTTTTCACACGTGTATATACCCACATAGACTCATTATGCATACATATCATTCATTCAGTGCTGCTCTATGGCCTGCTGGCTCCAATCAGGCTGAGAACCAGTATAACATCTGTAACTACCTTGCCTTCTGTGTTTTGTGCAGAAAAACCCAAAGGAAATCTCAGGCTACAAGTGGGCTTAGAAAACTCTCTCATTTCCATGCTGTGCATCAGCCAGAGTGAAGCTGTGGAACTGGTCCTATAGTGCCAAACTCTTCCTGATCAAGAGATGACATTAGTATCAGCTGTGGACAAGTTTGTCAGAAACCAAAATTCTGGGCTGGGGTCATAGCTCAGTGGTAAAATCCTTGCCTAGCATAATGAGGCACTGGGTTTGATCCTCAGCACCACATAAAATTTTTAAAAAGTATTGTGTCCATCCACAACTAAAAAAGAAACCAAAATCCTTCCCCCAACATATCTGGTATTCATTGATCTGCTCTCTGGAGAAGGAGGAAGAGGAGGAGGAGGAGGAGGAGGAGGAGGAGGAGGAAGTGGAGGAGAAGGAGGAGGAAATGGAGGAGGAAGAGGAAGAGGAAGAGGAGGAGGAGGAGGAGGAATAGGAGGAGGGGGAAGAGGAGGAGGAGGAGGGGGAAGAGGAAGAAACTACAACTCCAAACAAAATCTCAACCTTAATTAAGAGCAATAAAGAACATTACAACACCCATTAAGATATCAAATGAAGAATGGGATTTGACTATTCTATCAGATACATCTTAATGTAGTCTTGGAAACAGATACTAGTTCTATTGTACAGATCAGGAGAAAGCTGCCAATATGTTTGGTTATAATTGGTTGTTTCAGTAGATGAAAAATGAAGCTAATCTCCCTAAATTCTTCAGGGTTTCGTCCCTAGCACATTAGGCAAGAGATTGGGGTTGGGGGTGATCTTCAGAACCCAAGGTTATGTTCTTCTTTTTTTGAGAGAGAGAGAGAGAATAATAATTCTTTTAATATTTATTTTTCAATTTTCGGTGGACACAACTTCCTTATTTTATTTTTATGTGGTGCTGAGGATCAAACCCAGTGCCCCGTGCATGCCAGGTGAGCATGTTACTGCTTGAGCCACATCAACAGCCCTCTTTTTGTTCATTTATGCTCCTTACAAAAGTATATCAATTTCTTTCCCTTTCTCTCTCCCACTCTCATACACACACACTTCTTGTTCTTAAAGAATTTTTTTCACAATAGTTTCATGCCTCGCATGTGCCAAGCAAGTGCTCTACAACTGAGCCACAACCCCAGCCCACATACACTTCTTAATATGGAGAATACATCAGAGTAAATGGATCATTTCGAAGCAGAAATTGCAAGAAGGGGAGATTGTAGAACTTTGGTAGAGACAGTCCAATGAATTTTCAGAGACAATGAAAGTAAACCTGGACACCCCTTCCTCCTCACTCTCTGGTATTTAGCAAGGCCAGTGTTACGTCTTACTTATAGTTATGGTCTATAAAGCAATGGTCTATAATGTCATTACTTATGAGATATGGAAGAAGCCTCTGTATCCAAAACCATCTCTTACATGGCAAGGCTACCACAAAGTCCTTACTCTGAATGCACTCTTTAAGGTCTTTCTTATGAAGCCATATATGTTATCAGGCCATTATGTCACAGAAGTGTTGGAAGGAGGGATTAAGAGCAGCATAACATGGTAGCTAGCTGTCTCACTGCCATCAAGCAGAGCCTTGAGAACATGAATGGCAGCACTGGTAAGTTCTGTCAGAAGTCCAGGAATTCTGCATTTAAGGCCAGGAGAACAGTCCCAAGAGAGCTTCATAGAAAAAGATTCAATGGATCCAGGGACAGCTGGGGGCACTAGATGCCCAGATAAAAAAGCACAATAAGATGTTAAAATTAGGGCACTGCAGATTTTTTAAAAAACTGAATAGAAATGGCAGTGGTAGCTTAAAGTCTTCCACATATACCCTTTGTGACAAGTTAGGCTACTAGGGTGGAGGGAGCATGGGATTGGGCTTGCTTGCTTGCTTATATACTTTTATGGCAATGCAAGGATTTTTATGCTCAAGTCCCACCCCCTCCAACTCCATGGTTTTAATATCTGGGATTTTAATCATTCATTTTGAGATCTGGCTCCCTTTGACTAGATTTTCAGCTTACAGTCCAGGCACGCAAACCAGACTAAACCTTCTGAATGACGTAGGCCATACTTATGGTACAAAATAGGCCTCTAGTTCCTCATTAGCTGTAGGCCCCACATCTCGAGTTATTCTAGCTAGTACAGGAAGGGTTTCTGGATCTGTCTATACCCTCTAACCCAATGCTCCTGAGGAATGGAGTATGCATTGACTATGTTCTAATCCACTGGGATGCTTAACCCAGACGACCCAGACAACAAACATACATGTGTGCACAAAAAAGAGGCACTGGACATAGCTGCCTTGGCAATGGCTGCAAGCCCAACCCCTAGCACCGTGGAGGCCAAGAGTCCTTAAGACCAAATATCCATTGGTAATTTGCCAAAGGAGGGTCTAGACATAGCTGTTTGCCCTTATCCCAACCCAGTCCCTTTGCCCACCCCTACCTGAGCTTACCTAGGTTCACCAGGTTGGTCACCATCAACTTGCTTCAGAGAAGAGGTGTTAATATTGCTGTTGGACAAACATGGCTTTAAGAGTCTCCCTCCCTGTAGGTCATCAGGGTCTTTTTTCTTTTTCTTGCCAAAAAAGCTCCTGAAGGCTTTAAATTTGGATTTCTTTTTTCCTGAAAATGAGAAATGAAAGTAAGGCAGAGTGTGATAGAGGAAGGAAAGGAGACAGAGCCTTCAAAACTGAAACAAACACTGTGGATCTCACCCCCAGGGCCCACTGCACCTCTCTTTTGGTTTTTACCTCTCTTGGAAACTCAGTAACCAAGTATTTGAGATGCTGGCAAAAGAAGCAACCCAAACCATAGCTTTATGCAGCCTCTGTTGAAGTCAAACAAGGTATTCACTTGCTTCTCAATTTCAACCATTAATTAATATGCACACTGATAAATCCAAACCAATCAGCAATAGTTGAACAGCACACACAGTAGTGAATGCACACACACCTCTTTCTTTTCCTAAGAACTTCGTTTGCGTGAAGTGATGATTGAGCCAGTGGAAGCACTTGGCACCTCCCAGATACCGCCCTGGTAGCTGGAGTGACTGCAATCCAGTGGAAGAGCCAAGTTCACACATGTGAAAACCAATTTCAAACCCTAAAAATCTAAGCAGGAGCTGATACCACCCAGACTATGTGCTGAAAAAATGCAGACCTAAAGTGTGAGTGCCATTGGTTGGTATGGTGAATGAACACTTCCTTGAGGAAGGAGTTTCTGAGCAAGAGAGAGGGCTGGGAATAGGAAAGAAGAAAGGGTTTTCCAGGTGAAGAAGCTGCCTGTGCAAAAGCTATGTCAAACTCAGGTAACAAAGGGCTTTTCAAAGTGTGTTCGTCTGTGTGTGTGTGTGTGTGTATGCATGTGTATGTGTGAGCGTGTGTACTGCTGTGCATGTTGTTCAACTATTGCTACTTGGTTTGGATTTATCTACACAATTGTTGCCCTTTGCATTTGCAGATAAATGAATGTTTGCTCCATCTATAATAAGTACCAGGGCAACAGTGAGAAATGTGAGCTTTAAAAGTCCCTAAGGCTCTCTCTGTTTGGGCTTTCTTTAATTTCCTAATAAACACATGTACATATCTATATCAGCAGAAGAGAAGAAGGGGAGGGGACTCAACCTACATTCTTCAGAGGGAAAGAATTAGCTGTTATTTCTCTCAGTGCAATGATTTACCAACTCAGGTGTCTCATTTCAATATTCAGCAGTCTGGTCTCTGGAAGGCCTCACCAACATAGCAGTGCTGCAGTGGTGGTGAGAGGTCTGTACTAGGGAGTTTTCAATACAGCTGCCATTTTGAAAAGTGTGATGGTATAATGGAAAGTACCACCCAAGAATCTGAAATCTGGAATCCTAGGCTTGAATCTGATATCAGTAGGCTCTGTGACTTTACTCTGGGTAAGTCACTCAATCCCTATGGGACTCAGGAAAACACACTGGCTCAGCATCTCCCGAAGTGTGTTCAGAGGCATGCTCTAAAATTTTGTTATGTGAAAAGGGGATCTGCCAACCAGGCAATCTGGGAAATGTTGAATTAGACAAAGTTCATTGCTTTCCAATAAGACTTTGCTGAAACTTCAAAATGCTAATGTGTAGAAAAGGGAGGTCAGTTGAATAGAAGAAAGGTACCAGGGGATGGGAGGATGGGAGGAAGGAGGAAAGCACTTGGGAGAGATATTGGCCAAATTATATTGTTATGTTGTGTGCATGTACTAATATATTACAACAAATCCCACCATTGTGTACAAATTAATGCACCAATAAAAGTGGAGAAAAAATTAAAATTAAAATTAAAAAAACGATTCTATGTTGAATGAAGAAACTGGGCAACAATATGGTCTCCCAAATGCACATAAGCAGAATATCTGGCAAAATGCAATTTTGGAAATGCTACCTAGGGTTCCCTCTAGCTCTGAAATTTTATGACCTATTTATATATTAATTACTCCTATTAGAAAGGTTTCTAAGCTGGGCATGGTGGCTCATACTTGTAATCCAAGTGACTCAGGAGGCTGAGGCCAGAGGATTTCAAGTATGTGGCCAGCCTCAGCAATTTAACAAGATCCTATCTCAAAAAAATAAATAAATAAAAAGGACTAGGGATGTAGCTCAGTGGTAGAGTACCCCTGGGTCCAATCCCCAGTACCAGGGGAAAGAAAAAGTCAGTTTCCTAACCTTCAAGGAAATCTAGTTTCCCACCAATATGTACAATTCATGCCTCTTTTTTCTAGACAAATAAAACTTGACTGTTATCACAATGAGTTTTGCATCTGAATACTCTCTAGTCTGTCCACTAATTCATTCATCTATTCAAAAATATTTATTAAGGTCAAACACTTACTCTGCTCTGGGTGTCAATGAGAAAGGAATAAGATATGGTCCCTATATCTTAGTTACTGTCCCCACATCTGGGTATATTTAAAATGACCTTTAACCTCACAAACCACCATGAGGATTTCATGTGAAAGTTCTAGGAGGTATACAGCATAGAGTAGTCTGGTTCAAAATCATCTCTATTTTGCTCTTTGGCCTTCTGTCTTAATCTCCTCACTTCCAAATGGTTTCTAAAACCTATGGAATTGTGAGGATTTTTGTAAAATTCTCATTAATATAATGACAATTTCACAGTTTGATGCTAGAAAATACTTCACAACAAATTCTCTGGGAAAATTCCTTGATACCTATTATTTGCCTATTGATGTGGTGCAAATACACATCCACTATGACCCATCTCCCAAGCCAGCCTGAACCACCTCAGACACACTGGTAAGTAATTCCCACCCAAGGAGGATGAGTTGGGCAGAAGGTCTCTCACAAACAGAAAGCAGCATGCTACATTTTAACCTTGGGAGATACTGCCATTTTCCAAACCAAAGGAACAAGATTTATTGATTCTTAACAAGTGGGTATCCTCCAGGCCTCCGAACCTTTATGCTCAGAACATAGTATAAAGAATGATCTGAACATTCACTGGGTTTGGAAACACAGTGACTATTGTCTCTCTTGCTTTAAACCCCCAGAATGGAAGAGAGGCGGGCAAAGCTAGAGAATTTGGAGTTGCAAACCTGCTTCTCATAAATCAGCAAAGACAAAGAAAGGAGAATCAATAGCCAGTAGCTCCACAATCTATAATCACTGAATAGCTGAATAAAGCATTTCCAATTACCTCTTCAGGCTGTGAAACCAAATTTACCAAACATGATCATTGTACAAACAGACAAAACTATGCACTAAGATTTTTATGTTTCTGAATTAAGAAAATGACTTGTGACTTGTGGCTGTAGCATGTACTAAAATTGAACATACATATATTCCAATTTTCTCCCAAATTTTCATTCTTTGTTTATAAGGAAAAAAGAACTTATTTCCCACAAGGATTCAAAACAGCTTAAGCAAGGTGTGTCTTTTCAATCATGGCCCTAGAAGAAAAGAATGCTTCCATTCCATATAGTATGGAAGTCACATAGCTTTTGTAAACATGGAGTTGGGCAACACAGAGAGAAGGTAACTGCCAAACATGGTGGATTAGCAGCTTGTTGATCCACAGCAGTGAGATCACATCCTTAGTGGATAACCTGTTGCCGTGGCCAGGCATAATATGTCAGTTGCAGGAGTCTAAATCTTCATTCTGGTTGTTTTTTTTTTTTTTACTTCTTTTCTCCCAGTACTGGAGATCACACCCAGGGCCTCACACATGCTAGGCAAGCACTCTACCACAAACCTATATCCCCAGCCTCTTCAGTTTGCTTTTGATTAAAACACCCCAGTAATCCTGACTTCAATAGGTCTCCAGGTACGGAGATGAGCTCTGGTCTCAGCTCTGGAAATGAGATGCAAATCTGGGAACAATACACATGCTATGTTTTTTGTTTTTTGGTTTTGTTTTTTTGGTGGGGAGCAGGGTACTGGAGATTGAACCCAGGGGTGCTTAACCATTGAACCACATTCCCAGCCCTTTTTATTTTTTATTTTGAGACATAGTCTCTCTAGTTGCTCAGAGCCTCACTAAGTTGCTAAGGCTGGCCTCAAACTTGCAATCCTCCTGCCTCATCCTCCTGAACAACTGGGATTATAGGAGTGTGCCACCACACCCAGTACTATGCTGCTTTTGAAACCCTGATGGAATTCAACATGGTTGACGTATATTCAAATGCATTTCTTTTTTGTTATTGTTGTTTTTTTTTTTTTTTTTTTTTTTTTTTTTTTTTTTTTTTTTTTTTTTTT